GATCGCGTCTCGATGACCCAGGAGAATTTTGAGGGCTGCTTCTTTCGGAATGCGTAGACGTGGTTGTTGGACAGGCGTTCCTGCGCAATAATGACTTTTTCGCTTCCGTTAATGACAAAGTACCCACCCTGATCATAGATGCACTCCCCTAGATCGCTTAGATCTGTATCGTCCTTGTCACTGAGCACACAAAAAAGAGACCTGAGCATGATCGGCACGTACCCAAGAAATTCCTTTTTGGCATGTTCCGTGGACTCGGCCTCTCCCATGTCCTCTGCCGGGTCAGTAATGTTGATATCCCGCGGAACGCGGTACTGGTTCATCATGACGTCCACGTAGAGAGGTGCCGAATAGGTCAGGTTTCGTAGACGCGCCTCGTGGGGGAACATGTTGGTAACGGTTCCGTCCTTTTCGACCGTGGTCGGCTTCGAGAGATAGACCTGGCCGAATTTGATTTCAAAGACGGGCTTGGTCTCCCCGAACTGGACGTCGTCTGCATCCTCGTCGTCGTTGTATCCGACCATGTGCTGGAGTTCCGGGGAGACCCGAATGTCTCCCGAGGAATCGACGAGTTCCTGCATCGTGTTCTGAATGAACTCGTCGAAGGAATCGAGCTGCTGCCGGACGAGACCCTTTTCTTCGAAATACGCAGAAATTACGGCCCACGAGTCTTCCTGCGTGACTGGAACCTCGTCGATGTCTATCATCCCGTCCTCGCCTTCGTAGCCACCACCACCTCCTCCTTCGGCATCCATCATCATTTCGTCATTCCCGTATTGCTGTTGCTGCTGTTCCGCCATCATCATTCCATGGCCCTCCATGCCGGTTTCATCTCCGAAATTCATGGTTTTCGCGGTTTTATGCAAGATGGATGAATGGATTGCTGTCTCGTTTGCTTGTTCTTTTCTTCGTTCGCTTTCACACTCGCAGCCAGTGGTTGAAGTACGATAGAGGATCTCTACCTTCTGACTTCAGTGTACCTCTATTGGCCTCTTTGCCTCGCTGTCTACGCTAGTATTTCGAAATAACGGGTACCCGAACTAACCGTATCTGCTGGAGGGACGATCGAGGATTTCAATAGCGACAGTATCTACGAAAGAGAGATGAATCAGTCAATGGGAATAACGAAGCCTATCTCGTAGCGAGGTTGTGTCTTGGTGCTGTCTCTGCAATCGTAGGGTACGAGCGGGCTCTGCTGCTTTCAGTGTGCTGTTGGACGACTCCTACCGACATGAGGCTTCATCGGATCACAACAAGCATTGCCTTGCGCTGATCTGACATTTACCGGCACGTACGCTAGTGTTCGTTACGTACTGGGAAGATAGAGTACGGTACGGATTGAACGTTTCGTACCGTAAAGCACGGTAACGGTATGTACGGTACAAGGACGGAATGATACGAGCTGGACTCCTACGGCGCAAATGGTTTAGTACGTAGAAGTACGGTACTATCTGCACTATCTAGTACCGTACCACTACCTTACCGGACGATAATTTTTCTTTTCCACCGGGTACCAGTACTTGTACGCGTACGACTGTACAAAGTGTTTATCGTACGGTACAACTACCCTATGCGTCTGCACAGCTCTCGCGAAATCGGATTGGAGGAAATGTGGGGTGGAGGGTGGTCGTCGACTAGTTAGACCGGAATGTTCGCGCCGATTTGTCGTTCGAATCGAACGAATCTCAAAATAAATCACCGCGAACGGCTGTGATGCGGTATGTACCATACGTACTCTACGGTAGTACGTACCATAGATTAATTGTTCCAATATTATTTTTTATTTTTTCGTCACTATTAAGAGTACTGCTACTACTTATTTTTAGTACTTACTACTAGTAGTAGTAATAGTGAATGCCACGTATTACTAGCGGTTGTAGCATTACTAAAAAGTAGTAAGAATACCATCACTAGTAGTAGTACTAGTAGTAATTAGTACCATCTACTAGTACTAGTAGTAGCTTTTCTATTGACGTTCATTGTCATCTCAGAGCTTGCTCCTGTTGCTGTTGATGTGTTCTTGTCCTCATTGTTAACGACTATCAAGTCAATAATTCCTCCTCTGCTCTGGAAAAAAGATTCATAAACGCAAGTAATACTTCTCTGAAAAAATCTAACACAAAGTGTCTGCTACTACTGTGGTGCGTCCTCGGCAACAATTATCTCCCGTAGTTTGTCGTGATCGAGTCCGCAAACCTGCAACCATCTTGCTAGGTCGTCGAGTGGATCTTCGATAGAAACGCTGGCACTTTCCGAAAGAATGGGCCATTTTTCTCTGTCCTCCTTTGGGACCAAGAGCTCCAACCGAACATTCGCGGAGCGCAGTATTCCATGAATGTTTGTCCCTTTTACGCGCCCAAGCAACATGCCCTCTGGTTTGCCTGCCATCCATAAAACAATTGGAGGAACAAGATTGATTCGAGTTAGTTAAAGTTTTTCATCGTAGCAGTCGTGATCCAGTCTTGAATAAACCTACCATTGTCGTATGCGAGAAGAGGAGCCATTCCTCGGTATGCATCGGCAATATCCTTTCGCTCGGAAACGACAACTTGCTTGGGCCCACAGTCTAGTTCGTACCCTTCGACGTAGAGCCCTGAAGGATAGAGTTGGCCCTTCATGCGATTGAGGTGTTTGCATTCTGCGGGTTTTGCGGTGAACGACAACGGAAAGAGCCCGATGCCTTTTCGGATGGTGTTTTCTCCCTTTAGATTCCGACCGAGCATCTGGTAGCCACCGCACATACCCAGAACCGTCCCTCCAGCCGCAACGTGTTCCCGTATAAAATCCGCCCACCCAGAATCCTTTGGGTTTTGTTTCCAAGAGCAGAAAACCAGATAGATTAGAGAAATCGCTTGCATACCATACCATCGAACTGATCGGAATTCCACGCGACCCCCAAAATATTTGATTCGGAACTACACGTGTACTTACATTAATCCATTTCAAGTCCGGTAGCGGAAGCCTAGAGCCCGGAAGAATCACCGCTGCGGTGGCGGGATAGGGTTTTGGTACCCGTTTCCTTCGCCACTCGATGGAAAATCTACCATCGCTTTCCAGAGGACTCAGGTCGCTGGATATTGTTGAGTGAGGATATGCAACTACTACAACTACCGGTTTTTCCCTCGCTACTTTGTAATGGTCCACTCTGTCCGTCTCCCCGCGATCGTTGTATTGGTTGTGGTCCCCTCTTCTCTCCCAAGAAAGCCTATCTTCGATGTTTATCCCGGCCTCTTTTCGCCCGTGCCAATTTTCGAGAAATGGTATTGCGAACAGTGGCTTCCCCGCCATCTGTTTTAGTGTCTTCAAGCCCCCCGAGTATSCCTCGATGTCCCCTTTCACCTTGTTCACAATCACTCCCACGCACAGGTCCCAGTCTCTCTTGGAAAGACACATTTTGGTACCAACGACCTGAGCAAAGACGCCCCCGTTTTCGTCGTTCGCAACAAGAAACCAGGGACACTGAGAAAACCATCGCAAGTTACGAAGTGTAAGGTACACGTATTCAACCACACGATGGAGGCGCAAACCAACAAGGACASAACGGCTCCTGCTGCTGCTGCACCGAAATCGTTCTGTTTCCACCRTTGCACCTAGAACGCACACGGCGATGTCCCACGTACCTTCAGGCGACGCACAATCGGAAGGTTGACAATGTCCCCGTCCATGAGATGGAGTTCCGAGCAGGAACCGGCCCCCTGGACGACAACTACCTCCGCCCCCGTGACGGTTGCCAGGGAACGGTGCGCGTCCAGAACAATGTTCCGCAGCGCACGGATTCTCGTWGAAAAGGCMGAGTACGTCTCCCGGAGGATCTGTTTCCCCATAACGATCATGGCACACAATGCCTCGTCGCGTTCCATGTCCCTCTCCCCGGACTTGAAGAACAACGGATTCATGTCGACCCGCGGCAATATCTTGCACGCCTCGGCCTGCATGGCCTGTGCCGTGCTGATCTGGCCCCAGCCCTGGTCGTCCGCSGGGGCTTTTGGAGGCCCCTGYGGCAAAGCCTTCCCCTCGCGGGCCCCTTGTTCGGTGCGGTCGGTCGGGCCCGTCCTGGCGGCAAAGGAKCCGTACAGGTCCTTCCTSCGCGAGGGGTCCGGGAGCAGCGCGGGGGACGTCCCCGAGCCCGTGTTCTGMGCCTTGAAGGGCGCACAGTTCGTTCCGCCGTTGGCGAGCACCCTGCAAATGCCGGCGGCGATCACGCTCTTGCCGACCCCGGACATGGTCCCCAGGAYGGCGACGCTGTTGGTATAGCGYCGTTCCTCGCAGCTGCTCGCAGTGGTGACCGTGGAGACGCTGCTCCCCGGGGACTTCCGTGCCGCACCGGTTCCGGTGCGTCTCCGCGGCTTGGCTCGGATCCTGGCCGGAGGCCCGTGCCGCCGAAGGTTGCTGGTGTTCGTTCTCCCCGATGCTTCGGACCATTCCCCGCTTCGAAGCGATCCTTCCTCCGAATAGTGGCTCTTCCCGGATACTCCCYGGCGRTCGTTGGCGTTGCTGTGCATCCGTTGTCGATTGGGGCGAGGGTGTTGCGGCGACGACGGTCCCGGGGAAACCCTCAAACTCGCGTGTGTGTTTTCGCCCGCATGGGTGGGTGCTCTCGACGATTGTTGCCTGCTGCTTTGGCTGTACGCAGTGGACGCGCTCTGGCCGGTGGCAGACGAAACGGACGAACTCGTAGCGCCGCGAAAATCTCGCTCGCCTCCGGAACCGGGTTTCCGCACCCGCCTCCTCCGTATTATCTTTTTTCGGTTCGGGGCTGGTGTTGGTTGGTCCTCGCTGTATTTGCTGTGGCTGTGGGAGCCTTCGTCGATGATTTCCATTCTTCCGGGCTTGGATGGATTCCTGTTGTTGCTTCCATTCCGCCACGTTCGTTCTCTCCTCCTCCTCCTCGAGGAGTCGGAGTCCGTTTTCCTGCTACTGCTGGCCAGAGAACTGCTCCCGGTRGCATCGAGATTGCTGCTGCTCTTGCTTATTCGGAAGCTCTCCATGTAGCTCTCGAAGCTGGCATTCTCGCTGATACCGTCGTCCTGGTCGTGCTTTTCGGGAGACACGGGACCGGGAAACTCGGGGAGGTCGTCCTCCTCGATCCATACCGATTCCTCCAAATAATAGACATACTCGTCGTCGTCGTCGGCGGCAAAGGAAACTTCTTCTATCTCCTCGCCAAAGGCACCGGTATCGTAATTCGCGGCACCCACGTTCCCATTCCTGTTAGCATGGTTCGAGATTGCGTGTTCCGTGTGCGAGATGGCATGGTCCGTACCGAACGCCTCCTCTTCTTCGTCGCCAAGGGTGACTTCCTCGTAGGATTCGTCGTCGTCCAGGACCGTTACTTCCTCGAGTTCGTCGTCGTCGTCGTCGCGGCCGTCGCCATAGTTCTCGCCGTTCGATTGGTGATGGGAAGAATTGGCGAAAGGGTCAAAGGCTTCCGCCATAGTGGTGGCTGGTATTTCGTGCGTCGTTGCGGCCAATCGAATTGTGAATTGTACATGAATTATGGACGTCCCGCAATATCGAACTTCGAAGCTGCGTGTATTGTTTACAGTTTTGATGAAAAGAAAAGTACGGTACCGTACTACCGGTACKACTTCGACCGTTAGCTTTTTACCATACCGTGCCATCTTGCTTGGAACCTCCAACAAAAATAATTTTTCTCAWTTGGTTTGCTTGAAACTTCCTCTGTGGTAGAACGACTCTTCTTAGTAGTACGAAGTAGTAGTAGTAATAGTACTAGTATATAGTAGTAGTACTAGTCTAGTACTACTAGTACTACTTGTTGTAGTAATACAACAAGAAGTACCACTACATCCCACTCTGGTGAACATGATTGGCTGGCTAATGCAAGTACTTAGTAGTACTACAGTGCAAAAACCTAAGCAAGTGGAAAGGTGGGAAAATGAAAAAGAATTTAGATCAAGAAGAAGTGAATGAACAGCACAATTCCCCCTGTGCTGGCTACTACTACTAATACTATTTGTTGTTTCTAAACTAGGAATGGAATTCATTGATTGTTTGTTGTCTATGTCTGATATTGTTGGCAGTGTTGTGTTCTGAGAAGAGAAGAGAAGAGAAGAGAAGAGAAGAGAAGAGAAGAGAAGAGAAGAGAAGAGAAGAGAAGAGAAGAGAAGAGGTGGTTTCACAAACAGACCACTGGAACAAGTTCTACTAACTCCTCCTCTTCTTGGTGAAAGCACAACATAGTAAATACAACTTCTTCATCATGTTGTGTAAGCAGACCAAGTTGATCCCAACACATTTTCCAAACATCTTCACTGTAATTTGTGGATAGTTCTTGTCTTTGCAATTTTGATTGGGAATTCAATTATGTATTTTCACTTGCAACTTGTTCAACTTGTTTGATGTGAAATTTTAGACTTGTATTCTTGAGGACAGCATTGAAATTTGCCTTGTGCTGCAGTTTTTTATGAAGTGAGCTTGATCCCTTCTTTGAGTTTGCTTCTTCAGGGACTACTAGCTCTATCCATTCAACCTTGTCAGCACCCACACATGGAACAAAATATCCATCAATGATGATAATTTCACAATCCTGGTACCCAGTTTTTAGTTTTGCTGACTTGAATGTACACATGGCTCCATTTGCTTTAAATCTCTTGACATCTGTGATCCTTTTCAAAGATTTTGTTCCACCTGCAACAATATCAGCATCTGAGGCAGCAGTCAGTAACAAGCAATATTTCTGAAAATTTGGCATGTCTCTGTATTTTCTTTTCTGTCTATCTGTAGTTTTAGGTTTGAAGCTTTGGTTACAATCGTGTGATCTTGCACAGAATGAATTACTTCTGATTTTCCTATACCACAAGCAATTGCTGCRTGCTACAAGTATGGTGATTGGGAGTTTGTTGTGCATTTATTTGTATAGGTAAAGGAGTCATTAATTGCTTACATCTTTGTTGACATGAWAAATTTTGCATATTGCTTCAATACATTTTGCATATTGCTTAACAATGTTTGGAAATTTTTTGTCTCTCAATGGGTTACTCRTCCTATCCCAAATTATATCCCAATTTGTAACACACAACAGGAAATGTGCATCATGCAATTTTTTTGGCCTTGTTCTTCACCACAGTAAGCTTGTCATGCATCCAATGGCCTAAATGTAGATTTTAATGCATCAGTTTTTCCTGGTGGTTTCCATCCCAGAAGATCTGAAGTTGTTATTATAGTAATTACTTGCACAGAGGCCATGATGCAGAAGTCATGTGTTTGTACAATCAATTAYAAAAACATTCAAAATTGCATCACCATCAGTTATCTTTGGAACAGGTGGTGGATCAACCTGATTGGATGCTGATACCATGACCCACCATATCCTATAGTTATAAAGATCTTCAGGAWAAATACTAGTGAACAAGACACTTACTAGAAAACCATGTGCTAATAGCATTGAAAATATTTTCCCCTTCACTTTCTTTGCACTTGCACTACCAGTGGTATGCCCCATACTTGAAGTGACTGCCTGGATATTCCTGAGAAACATAGTATCAGCTCCAGGGTTTTCATTTAACAATTGACCTCCTTGTTGATGTTTATGTACAAGTCTATCAAGAGCAGAATCCGATCTATTACTCAATAATTGTGCAATATCAAGAAGGTTTTGATCCGTAGGCACTTGAAAAAACAAATGATAGTTATTTCAGTTTGAAAATGAGGAATCACACCTCCTTGTTGTTGTTATGTTTTTCCTTGTCACACTACTACTAATGATGTTCTTGGYATTGTTGTTTCTTATGCCACCACCACCASCAGCAAGAATAACAACATCCTCATCCTCATCATGACAAGAATTTCCCTCCATAAATTCCTCATTGACAATGAGTTCTTATGCTTCATTTCATTTGCTTCTTCTACACAGACAAGAACACAAAAATCTCTCTTTGGTGCTCATCCTTTGTGCTTTCCTCTCTATTACATTAGCAACAGAGGAGCAAAGAAATAACAAGAAATCCCACAGTTACAACAAGGATAGTGGTATTATCCATTTTCTGCAGCATAGAATCTTGATTAGAGCAAAGTATCATTGCTTCAACACCATTGCAAGAATGCTAAGATGAGCTTTAAAACTTTTTCCTGTCATGGTTTCTAATGATTAGTGCACCTTCCACTCCTTCGTTGACTCACCATTGCAACAACAACAACAACAACAACAACAACAACAACAACAACAACGTTGTACACAACAACAACAACAACAACAACAACAACAACAACAACGTTGTACACAACAACAACAACGTTGTACACAACAACAACAAGTAATGATTATATACCAGGAATGTACCACTCTAGTAGTAGGAAGAAACCAGCAGAAGAAAATATAAGAGAGTTATCATAGCAGCAGAGGAACAAATAGTGGAAAGGTACCTATCCTTTGCTTGTACACGAAAGTGGTGTGGTAATCGAAGAATAAGTACTTTGTAGTATTATCCACCTTATTGTCCAAGATGTCACAAAGATCATTGTTGAATGTTGTTGAGTGGTGTGGTGTCTTTTGCATGTAGTAGATCTAATTTTTTTGTCTCTATCTTGCCACCTCCAGCACTGAAATGCATTGTATACAACCAGGACAAACCTGGGTTTGTGAGTCCTTCAGGGCAGTGAAGTACACTGCTGGTGGTGAGTAGAGGAGGGAGGAAAGCATTCCTGTACAATGGTGTCACAGCAACCTCCTAACATCCAAGCTGGATATTTCATTCCTTTCAAATTTTCCTCCTCCTCCTATTTCAACTGGTTATGATCCCTGCTATACTATATCATTCTACTTTGAGAAGGGAGCATGTGGCATGACTTTCTTGGTGGGGAGGGTCACTTGTACTCCTGTAGATGGCTTGCAATAAGAATCAAAATGTCCCAGTTCATTCTTGTTGTAATCCTGGATATTTGAAGGATCCCACACTTTACCTTGCAAAAAATAAGAAAGAATTTCAACTTAATATGGTTCCCTTAATTAAAAAACTATGACRTAGACTAGGCAAGCAAATGTACAGTCTAGACTATTCCTTTTAGGCCCTTATTATATTGTTTAATCTGGTTAGAGGAGGAGTCACCAAGGAAGAAGCTTGGGTTGTTCTTGTTGTTAATKTGTGTGCTTGGTGTTGTTTTGTTGCTGGTTTGCTTCTTGGTTGGTGTTTYCCATTCCATGAGTTGTAATTGTACTGCTGATGTATTCAGCAATTTGGCAATTTTTGTTAGGAGCCATTAGTGGTTTTAGTGATAGTACTGTAGGATTCAGCACTGTAACTCATATACTAGTTTTTTTACTTAAGCTGCAGTTTGCACAGGTTACTATAGGTTAAGGAGAGCATTACATGGAAACTCTTGAAAAAGGGCAGGGCAAGGCAGAGGTGGAAAAAAGTCAAACAAAAACAAATGAAATGTTCTTCTTGAGGACATGTAATACTGCAATATCATATTTATAATTYTTTCCCCCTAAACTTTCAAGTTGACACCAATAGTAGCACTTGTTACTGTTGTACTAGTCATACTAATTGCCCTACTACTTCCTGGTGAAAACAATGAGGAAGATTTGTTGCCTATGCCCATGACAACTCCTCACTCATTTGTGATTGTTACAGTTGTTGGATACATATTGTCTTCAGTAGATACTTCTTCTTCTTCTTCTTCTTCTACAAACATAACAGATTTTCCATACTAATATAGTACTCTTCATTAGTACTACTAGTAGTATCTCTGACACAACAAGGTGTACTACTAGTAGGTGGTATCTAGTCCCTTTTGGCCAGCTTTCTCTTTTTCATTCCTTACCTACTTGGTGGCATTGATACTAGTCTCTCTTCTCAATCCAAACCAAGCAGAGGTATTAGTACAGTCATTGAAGCACCAGTATCTCAAGATGAATTGCTTCCCATCAGCATCTCTCCCTCTTCTTGTTACAAGTACTACTAGCTACTGGTAGTAGGAGAACACAAAGTCAAACAAATATAGTACTMGCAGATCTTCTTCCCACACACATTGCAGCTGTATTTGTTACCCAAAGTACTTGGACCACCACCAGATGTTGATACTACTTACTATCATACTGTGGAAGGGAGGAATGCTTCTGCATCTCTCCTGATATTGTGCTATTGGACTAGTAAGTGGTTACAATACTATGCGGTTAACCATGTGTTGCCTAAAGGCAGCATTGGTGCACCCAACATCATATGTCATGTCATATCATGGTTAAATACCACAGTAGTACATACTACACTATATGGCACATATGCATCTATAGTTAGTAGGGGGCTTATCTGGCAATAAATGAATAGGATCCGACATGAGCTGGTGAACCCCAGTCAAAATAATTATTTACTAGTACAAGTGTACAGAACCTGGTTGAAACTGATTTATTCAGCAATTGCTAAACCACTTAGTAGCTGTACTAATCAAGCTGTGCTTGTCAGTTATCATATGGTATTACTAGAGTGGACATCCAAATCTACTATGATTCCGTCATAGTTTTTGGTGGGCCCTCCTTTCCCATATACTAATAACCATTTTTGGTTTGAATTTTTGAATCCCATGAGTCATTACATCACATCCAATGCCCCAAAATCCACACACAGTACAGAATCAGCAGCTAATTGTGGTGTACTCACAGAAACAGAATTAAGAAGAGACAAATCATAAAAGTTGAATAGAATGAAAGAGTATTGCAAAACAAACCGTAGTAGTTGACTAAAATTGTCCTTCTGGAGCTGAGGAGTCTGAGGGGGACAAGAATGTACTACTCTATAAATTGGTATCAAGTCCATGTCAATGTACTACTAGAGCAGCATGTACTAGTAGTACTGGTGGTTGTGGCAGTAGGCTGAACATTTTTTTCTGGTGTAGGAATACTATAAAGTTACAGAAATGAGATGCTGGTGGCATGTGATCATGGGTTGCTGACATGCTGATATTCTTCATTGGTGGATTGGTTCTTGTATGATAGTAGTAGTGATGTACTACTAATCAGTGACCAAGAACACGACCAGCAACACCATCACCACCACCACCACCAACAACAACAACAAGGAGGAGGATGGTGAGAAGAAGTTCTTGTTAGTAGTACTAGTACTACTAACTACTACTAGTAATAGTACTAGTAGTACTAGTAGTACTAGTATTCTCTTACTTCCTCTTCTTGTTGTTACTTGTTATTCTTGTTCCATCACTTCTTGTTGCAGCACACCACATAAGACCTAATCTAGTACTAGTTCTACTATGAGGAAGGTGGGAGGATTCAGTTGTATTAAGGGACATGCAGATGTGTCTTTATGGAAGAAAAAATGTACAACTTGATTGGTTTTTTGCCCACTCTACTAGTAGTAATAACAAAACATCACGGTCCTTGACGTCAAGAGGTGCATCATGCATCGTGCATCGTGCATCGTGCTCAGTCCTGAACTCATCTACCGGTAGGACGTACGGTACGGTAAGTTGCCGTATGGTTTGATCTGTACGTGCTCGTAGAGAATCCCCTCTCGTTGAACAACATTCTCAGATCGTTGAGAGACTCAAAAATGGGTAAGAAGTGATAATCCTCGACCGGTTTTGCCATCTAAGTTGCAACAGATTTAGATCGACTACAGGAAATGCTTCGACATCTAGGACATTTTAACTTATGTCGCATTCAGATATGATTCCTGTTGCTCTATCATGAATCATACCGATGGACAGCCCCACCGCAGGAATAAGGGATACCGAGGAGAAAAAACGAACACAAATAAAAACAATGACGAGGAAATTGGGATCAATCGGAAGCAACATGATCGCGGGACACATTGCCACACTCATCAATTTCAWCATTTCCGGATGAAACGAAATATTTTGTACTCGTCGGCAACGGCGTTGTTGTTCATCGTTCTAACGATATACCAATTTCAAGATTAYTTTGATGAACGATTGCAAGACAAGTATTGGAGAGCGATGCTTCTCTTGCCACTGCGATATCTTCGTGTCAAATTCATGGACCAACGACCAACCCGTCCAAAAACTTTCACGCTGAAAGCAACCAGATCGTTTGTGATCAATCTTGATGCAGACAAAAAGCGATGGAGATTTTTTCAAGAATCGAATCAGCAGCAATTACAAAGTATTACTCGATTTCCTGCGACTTCGCTTCAAACCATTCACGACGACGAAAGAGARCACTACTTTCTAGAAAAATATCAGTTTCTTCGCAATCTCATCAAAAATGAAGGCAAAGGTTCGGCAGCATGCGCCATATCACACTTGAAGTTRTTATTAGAATTTGTCTCCAATACCGCAAACGATGATGACTACATTTTTGTTTTTGAGGACGACGCACTGCTAACATCCCATTTGCTTCAATACGGATTCGTAGTAGGGCCAGACAATGCGGATTTCATTCTGCTATCGGAGTATTCATCGGCACATATCTATGTTCCATTTGACAAAACAGATGTAAACACGAATGTGAACGATCTTTCAAAAAAATCGTTGGAAGAAAATTTGTTACAAAAYTACGCAGAGAMAATCAATACGGCAACACGTGTGGTGAGTGGTTACACGGCAATTGGWTACATTGTAACAAGACGCGGTGCAAAAGTCGTATTGGATGGAATGAAGAAGGAARAAGAGCTTCCAGTAGAYCTATACTTTTTCGCAAATCCGCAAATAAAGGCCTATCTACCGTTGCTTGGTTGGCCATTGGTACAGCACCACCAGCCCTCCCAATCTGTTCGAAGAGACAAGAACAAAGAATGACGAAGAGTAGAATTTCGCACATCAAATTCAAGCATTTCATTTTATGATAAATAAGGACAGATAATCATTTTTGGCTTGCAGATAAAATTGCATAAGCTTCGAAAGGCGATATTAAATAGACKTGTTTGCACAAAGGAAGATGTAAGATGCCCTTCATTCATATGCACTTGCAACAGACATTATGCAGATACTAATAGGAAGAGAGACCGTTATAAAAAATGCAAAAAAAATGTAAAATACTTCGAAAATGATACTCATGTCATCAAAGTAAAAGAATATAGAACATCATACTAGTAGAGGACAATATATTGAGTAATACCATTTTTAGCAGCACCCAATAAAGAAGCTGCTGCTGACAAATGCTACAAGTATTTTTGTTGAAGACTTTCTTTAACTTAGTGGGTCCATATGTTCAGTTGAAGTTGGTCTGAAATTGACTTTATAAACAAAGGTTTTCCAAACTTCAGATACCAAAGTAGGGAACAGCGCCAAAAAATGCGTTAGGTTTCAAACATAGTAGTATGGGCATAGATAGATTGGGCACCATCATTCCAATCAGTGGGGGAGCATCTCTAGTATGAAAAACCAGYGTAAATAGTGAGATCTCAATCAATTGTTAGTGTATTGATAAGGCATGATAGTACAAGACACTTGACTCATTTGGTTTACTACCACCACTACCACTAGTACTACTGCTGCTAGTACCACCACTACTACTACTTGTTACTGCACAATGCACCTCATCGTCCTTAGATTTTGCAACTCTGCTGGATTGACATAAAATAACTAAGACAAATACACCACCAGATCTAAAGAGCATATAAATTGTTAGGGTGCCAATAACTCAACCCCAGTTCTGCAGCATACTATAAATGGTTGGGGTTTGACCTGCTGAATCCCAGATCTTGACCATAAAAATGGTTGAAGCTTCTTCAACCAAAACCCAGTATTCAAACAGAGCATATGTTGGCCATTGTGAACTAGTATAAGAAGCAATTCAGTCCCTAACAACAAGGTTCAGGAAAGCCCAGTTCAGCAAGAAGAAAGAAGTTGGTGATATCATTTTCAGTGGCAAAATTTGTAACTGAAGTCATTGGAACTAGTACAAAAACAGCAGCAAATCAAACATTCATGTGTACTCCTCTTTACCCTAGTATTGTTGAAGGGCAATAACTTTGCAAAGGAAAAGATCAATTCCATGGAAATTTAAGGAAAGTGCTGCAGATCAGCCATACTGCTGGTGATACTTTAGGTTTTCTATTAGTATGGGAAACTGGTTGAATTCTGCTACAACAAACACTGCAGTTAATTTAAGAACCAAGCAAGCATTCATGACAAACCAAGCATTCATACCACTTTCCCTATTGAAGGGAAATGTCTGTACAATAAAGGAACCAACTGACTCCTTCATCATGTGACTGACAGTAAAATCACATTCATATGCAAAAAATGGCTCTGTTTGAACAGCTTAAAGAGTGCACTCACAATAAATTTAACACACTTAATACAAGTGTATACTACTGCATTGGATCAATATGACAAAAAGAACCATTCCAATTGCCCAAATATTGAGCTTTTTTCACTACTGCTACCACTAAAGGTGCATAGGGTACATCTATTTCTGGACAGAGCAAGTACTACTGTTGAAGAAGCTGTTAGGTCCTATTTCACACCCAAACTTGTACAAGGAAAGAACCCTGGTAATGTGTGGACCAATTCTATGATAGTACTTGGTTATGAGTACAATGAAAACACACAGTTTTTACTACTAGTTGAAAAAAAAACACCAGCATGAGACTTGTCTCACCCTCCAGATAAACAAGCTATTAGCAACATTTTTCCACCCATACATATACTGGAATAACTTCATACTAATAACAATTAGTACAAGAACAAGGGGATCTGGAAGTCTCACATCAATTGGCCAAGAGGTTGTTCTTTTGGAGTCATTGGTGGTATTCCCAAGGTCAGTAGCTTGCTACGTACAAATTAGTACCAGCAAATATTTAGATAAAATACTTTTGATTTTTTAAATTTTGAGACAGGTTGAAGTTCCAAACCCAAATGAGGCGTATTGTTCCCTCCATAGAGCCCTGTAAAATTTGTACCACTATGTGTCAAAAGACTTCTTTGGATTCCTGCAAATGAAGGACAGACTGAAGAAGTGCAAGCACCACCAGTAAAGGAAGGATAAGACTACTGCTCTATATCAAGATAATCAAGGAAGACAATGAAGGTCCAAGGAATAAGTAAAGGGTACAGCTCAATGCAAGAGCCCTCTCCTGAGACAAAGGCACTACTATAGCTCTCATTGTCTTCTTGTAAACTGCAGATTTGGTTTGGTATCAGTAGTAGCTGAGATATCAAAGCTGGAGCATTTACACTACTATCTTCTTTTCTAACCATGAGCTGTCCCCTCGATGATCTCATTGCAGCTTCTGCTCCACATGACATTCCCTTGGTTGTCGGC